AAAAAAAAGAGTTTAGATTAAACCAATAAGCGGTAGAATTGTTTAAGAAGATTATTAGATTGAGAGATTTGCAAAAAAAAAGCAATATTTAGAAACAGTGTCGGAGAACTTGCTAATTGCGGTGTTTTAAGCCACAAATATGGTCTACGATACCGGCTATCTCTTTGAACAGATACACTTTCTTATCACAGATATTTGTCAGTGTATATGATTGTCAATATACTCGATAACTGCCAAAATGTCTGCTTAACTGATGTCTGTGAACCATTTTTTTTTTCAGAAGTATTAAAAAGTGCTTTATCAGTGTAAACAGCAAAAACGATCTTATATTGATAGTTGGTAAACTGCTTAAAGTTTGATTTAAGGAGGTGTCATTTATTTTAACTTTTCAACTCTGTATATATATATATATTTATTTATTTATCTTTATATATAATATCATTGATTAGAACTTTCAATTTGTAATATTAACATCTAAATCTTGTTTTTTATCGAATCAGCGCTTGTTAAAATGATGATTTTCTAGTGAATTTGAAATTTCTGATGACAGATACATCAACGGTTTTTTGGAATCTGTGCAATGCTTACAGCTGTTCGTTGCAAATCACCGGTGATCCATACCAGCAAAAATAAGCCATCGCTCAGTGAGCGCCATCGAAATTTTCAAAAGTAATTGATAATCATCCTAACATCAACTATCAATCGTTGATTTAAACAGCCAAGTTTCATTAACACACGCTAAAACTGACATGTAATTTTAATAAATTTAAACGATAATTTTTTATTAACTCTTTTTTTTCTTTTTTTTTTTTGCTAATTAAGCCTAAGCATAAGCAAAGCAGATGAACGACACAACTTGTTCGCATTGTTGAAAAATTATATTTTTATAAATTAATTGTATTATTTGTTTCTGCTTAAATAATAAATAATCAAAAAGGTTTTCGATTGGATATCAGTTTATTATCAGTAAATTTTATAATTAAAGTGAAAAAGGCTTTTTTTTGTTCTGGAATAAGAAAACATAAAACAGACAAAAAATATTTTGACTTTCTATTAATTTTCAAAGTTTATCGAGGGTTGACAGCATATTTTTGACTAATTTTTTTGCATTTTTTACTGCAACTAATTAGTTGCTGGCAACATTTGTGCAGTTTTTTCTTTATTTTAGCGTGTTACAGAACAGTGAGATTAAACCAATTTTTAACGACTATTGTCTCGTTTGATCTGGCTTTATATGTAATGCATATTTTAGAAGTTGTGCAAGAAAATCGAATCCAGGAATCAAAGCACGTTTGATAAATTCAATTTGCTGGGCTTGGAGAGAATTTCAATATTGGCTATGCTACTATAAAGATGGTCAGTTTATTCTATCGTTTTTTGCCGTATCGTTAGTGATAATAGTAGCAATAATAACGGTTATGTTAACAACAATGATAGCTTTTTTCTCCTAGACAATCCAGACAATTTTGTGTAGAATAAATGATATCACAAATTTTTTAGAGCTAAAGATTTTTATCAGTTTATAATCTTTTCTTCAATACCAATGTTTACAAAAATTTACCAGTAACGCTGAACAAGAGAGATAATAAAATTTCTTTGTAGAAGACGAGATAGACGTTGAAGAACTGTTAACAAATCCGTTTAACACTCAGCCACCGTCATTAAATGAATTAAGCCAAGTTACTGGTTTCCAAAAACAATGGATAATGTTTTTGTACAGAAATTTTAAACAGGTATAAGTTGCTTTCTCTTTTTTCTTGTTTATTCTCTCTGCCTTTTATCTGTCTATGAATTTTATATCAGTAACTGTTGAGGCAATAAAAATCTTGCAAAGAACACTAGAAATAAACTACTCTGAGGTGTATTTTTAAGAAATGCTTGAATGGAAGAATGTCTATGGTACAGTGGCGTCAAATTTTTAGACAAATTTTCAAGAATGCTGCTGATATCGAATATGCAGACCGAATTTTTTTGGCTATTGCTGGTAATCGTTCCCAAAAACTAATTACTTTCGAGGTTAGTTATTGCATTTGAAAAGTTTACTGTTGTTTAACAAGTATGAAACTGCATTCGTAGATGTTCATTTTTCTGAGCTAATTTGTGAAGTTTTGACTTAAAAGTATGTTTCGGTAATTGTAGAATAAGCTTTTATATAAATATGTATTTAAATGATTACTTTCCAACTAATCAGTAGAATTTTTTTTTAATAAACTGCAACAACTATTTTTCCTCTAGGAAATTTACTCTTTCAGAATAATTTGGCGATAAATAATGGCTGTAGTAAACTCAATTTAGGATTTAATAATGTACCTTTGTGAACTAAATCAATGGCAGCAGCTGAAAGTGATAAATGATAGTAATAATCCGTCAGCGATGGCTCAATTTGCATTTAGTCTGATGAAACCGAATGAAAAAGTATTTGTGACTTTAATTATTTTTTGTTTCTACAATGTTTTATGTTTGATTAAAATTACTAATAAGCTTTAAGTTAGTTGCTGAAAGTACTACTGGTTTGTTGAAGTCACTACTGATAGTGACAAAGAACATAATTTTACAGGGCCAAGTAGATATCAAAAATTTCACTGATTATGTGGAATGTGTCTTTTCGTTGAATTCTCGTCCAGTTGGCTGTTCTGAAAATACATTCGATCATTTCCAAGTTAACACTTCCAATTCTACCTTCAGTAAAACCTCTTCACGGTCACCGGCACTACAGAATTTTGCCAGTGAACAGTTCAGCGTAATATTTTGAACTAATTGAACAGTTTTTTTCTTCAATCACATTTAACACCTGAGTGTCTATTAGAAAACAAATGAATAACTTCCTATTTAGGTTTTGGACAAAGAGGAAAAAGGTTACATAACAGTGTATGATTTGGAACGGTTATTTGCCGAATTGGCCAACGACAAGACTACGGTGGATTTTGAAAGTCATTCCAATGGTATCTCCGAAAATAGCAGAAACTGAGTATATTACTGTACAGAAAGTGTTCAAATGAATGAAAAACGATAAGACAAAATTTCTAGACTAAATTTCTTTGAGGTCAGAAGAATATATATACGTTTATTTGTTTCTTTAGAGTATAATCAGTTTTATTTTTAACTTAAGCATTTAACATGAATTAAATGATGTAATTACAGCATAAAAATGCATAAGAAGAGAACAGTTATACATAAATAATGAAATGAGTACAGAATTCATCTATCAGTATTTAAACCTCAGTGATTATCAATTTCTTCTAGGTATAACTATGTGTTAACGTTCTACAGTTCTTCTGCAAGTAACAGGTAAGTTAAAAATTAATCTACTGATTGATGATATCAATGTTACTATTGCAACTGTTGTTATGCGTTATATTTGTTTTGCTGATCTCAAAAGATTCTGCTTAAGTAAAACATTGTTGATCTCAAAAATAACATACAAATTTCGATAATTGATTAAAATTCTAATATCTTTTTTAGTGTATATTAATAAAAATATTGTGACTGATGTAAAATTATGGTTTTTTTGTGAATGTTATTTTAACATCTATATATACTGTATGCAGTGTTATTTTAGTTCATTCTCAATTCACTGTTATTTGTCTGTATTTTAGTTTGATAAATTTCTCAGTTTTTCCTTTCTCATTTTGTTGTCATTTTTTTTAGTAAATTAACATATTACATAAGATTTTTGATTGAGCACCAATTATCAAAAATCTAGAAGTCTATCTGTTTTTGCGGTTCACCATTTTATTACGAATCTTTGACTGTCGGACATTGCCCAGCGGTATTTAGACTTTATGAATTTGAATTTGCCGACATTCTTCAATCTTCTGTGACAATTCTGTAACCACAAAGTGTCATCAAAGAAACTAATTTAGAAAAACCTAATAAACAAATTTTGCAACATATACTTCAGCCGACTGCTAAATGTAGCATAACATCTTTACCAGGTCAACTTCTACGTCAATAAAACGTTTTTTTTTTCTTAAGTAATAAGCTCAGACTTCAGACACAGTTCAAACAGACGTCATATACCTTTTTAAAATGCTGCATTTTGATTCAGCTGCTAAGACTGTTTGTTCGGCACTGCTTAGGCACTACTTTAGTTCGTGCTGTACATAAAATTAGCTAAAATGGTTATGACTTCCAAAATCAGTGTCAATTTCTTCTGGGTTTGTATCTGTTAATTCT